GACTAAACATGCAAAAACTATGATGGTAAAAGTGGAAAAAGAAGGACAGAGAGAGAGAAATGAGAAATGATACGAGAGTGAAAGTGATCGTACACTTTGCTGTGTGTCCCCTACGCAGCAGTCAGAAAGCTGGTTAATCTGATATTGGTCAGGTTTAAATCTGTCTGATCAACATGTGTGTCCTGCTTAACTTTTGAAGTCATCCTTGGCCACTGAACTGCACTCTTCTCTTTCTGCTTCTGCTTTTTTGTCTCACACAAACTCAATTCCACAAAAGTTGTGACAGTAGTGAAATGCAAATCATCGTTAACCTGTAATTTATTGAAAACAGTAGAAATACATGATATTTAATGGTTAAACTAATTATTGTTTTTTGTATATATACTATTATTCTAAATGTGAAGCCTGCAACATGTTCTAAAAAGCTGGGACAGGAGTGTGTTTACCACTCCGTGACATCACATTTCCTTTTAACAGCGTTCAGTAATCATTTGGGAACTGAGGACACCAATATTTCAGAGTTTCCAGCGCTAACACCCCACACCAAGACAGACGCTGGCTTTGCAGCTTTACACTGGTAACAATCTGGATGGTCCTTTTTGGCCCAGAGAACACAGCGTCCATTATTTCCATTAACAATAACAAACTTGTCAGACCACAATACACGCTTCCACTGCGTGTCAGTCCATCTCAGATGAGCCCGAGTCCAGAGAAGTTGGCAGTGTTTTTGGATGTTGTTGATAAATCAGAAAAACAAATAAGTTTCAGATTCTGTTCAGTTTCTTTAAAAACACTACATATGAACTCTTAGAGTTTGAAAAGCTTGATTTTTATACAGAAAATTTAGCTGGAAACTATAGGATTAAATTTAACATAATAATAATGCTGTTCTGTGGCTTTGTCATTATAAAATAATCCAGCACTACATCTTTCCACAAGAAACATTCACAACTGATCAATCTGCATTTCTTCTAGATAAAATGGGCAGAAACAGAAAATGAAAAACTGTTGCTGGGCTGGAGACAAAAAAGAGGAATTAGTGATAATAATGAATTATATTCTTATTTTCATGTAGGGTTTTGTAGAGTAGAATGCATGAGACTCTACCAAGGCAAGGCAGGTTTATGTGTGTAGCATCTTTCTTACACAGTGCAATTCAATGTGCTTCACACAAACACAGACAAATAAAAGTATGAAATATTACAGCTTAGTAGCTTAGAAAGGCATTTGCAAAAGTATTTACAAAAAAATATTTACATAAAAGAGCATTGCAGAGATAAAATACATTATAGTATGAGGAAAATAAAATAAGGGGTTCAAAGAAGTACAAACACTACAGTGCTAAGGTAAAGTGCAGCACAAAGGCACAAGAAACCAAGAATGTCTTTAAACTGGACTTAAAGATGGCTACATTTGGAGCATATCTGACCTCATCTGGGAGTTTATTCTAGCAGTTAGCAGCAGAGTGACTGAATGCTGTTTGATTCTTATTCTGGACACTAACTGACCGGTTCCTGACACCCGAGTGATCAGCCTGTTGGGTTTGTGTACTTTCAGCAGATCAGCAGTGTATTTTGGTCCAAAGCCATTCAGAGGTTTATATTCAATCAGAAGCACTTTAAAGTCAGTTCTGTAATTTACTGGTAGTCAGTTCAGTGATCTGAGGATGGGAGTGATGTTCTAGTTCTCATAAGCGTTCTAGCAGCTGTGTTCTGAATAAGCTGTAGCTGTCTGAATGTGGTTTTGGGAAGGCCAGTAAAGAGACCACTGCAGTAGTCCAGCCTGCTGGAGACAGGTGCATGATTCAGTTTTTCTAGGTCTTTTTTCTGACATGAATTTTTTTTAACTTTGATATGTTCCTGAGACGACAAAAGGCTGCCTTCATTATTGCTTTTACATGGCTGCTGAAATTCACTATAATAGATTTGTTTACTAGTATTTAGAAGAGTCACATTAAATCAGATTCATGCTGAAGAGCTTGAGATTGAATTTTAAACAGGAACACTGGACTGACAGGTTTCTGGGTATATACACATGAAGAATGCAGGAACTCTCAGTGTGACAGAAAGAAAATGAAAGGATTTGGCTCTGTGTTTAAGAACTCTGATGGCTGTCACACACACCGGCTTTCTTTACTCCTTTATCTGACCTCTGCTGAAGTTAATGACCTGTGGTCTTATGTCTGGACTAAGCTTTAACCAGAGTGTTAATGTGCAGAAACACAGCTATATTCATTGATAATACAGTCAATAATTAAATGAACTGGATGTAAATGTTCATAAAGTAAACTCGGTCTCTAAACGTGCACAAGAACATTTACATATCGCGGCTGTCGGAACAAAACCTAGTTTCTCCAAAAAGGTAACTTTACAGGACAAAGGAAAATGTTGATCTAAATCAACAGTTATGCCAAGATTTCTGACTTCTTTACCCTCAGAGCTCTGGTGTCAAGATGTGGTACCAAATACAGTCATCAGGCTTGTGTGTAGTTTCATTGATGATTCACTGCTGTACCTACAGTTTATTGTGCCCCACCAGGCTTTCTGTGCCAGAGACACCACTGGTCCTCGAGGGGTTTAAGGTCAATAGCAGTGAACTGGGACATATTATCTAGCTTGTTATTTTGAGGCAGTACATGCTGACTAGCTCTACTTATGGAACATGACAGTTTCTCTGACCTGTCTGAAGATGTTATTGCTAAACAAAGTTGCAGTGTCATCACATTTTTCCACAGAAAGAAGCTCTGGGACCACCTGTGCTGGTGGGTGTGTTAGCCTGTCAGTGGCTGCACTGTAAGGTGTGGTCATTGTTAATGATCTGGTTAATAATGTCAGAGAAGTAAGACTGCATAGTTTACATACTTCTAAGTTGTAGTTATTGACACACAGCTTTTTGAAAAATATATGCCCATTTTGAATTTGATGCCAACAACACATTCTAAAAAAGTTGGGACGGGGGCCTGTTTACCACTGTATTTCATCACCTCTCCTTTTAACAGCACCGAACACCAGGAGAACGTTACCTGCCTGACTGCACTGTGCCAGCTGTGAAGTTTGGTGGAGGAGGGATGATGATATGGGGCTGTTTTTCAGGGGTTGGTCTAGAACCCTTAGTTCCAGTGAAGGGGAATCTTAATGCTTCAGCACCAAGACATTCTGGACAGTTGTACACTTCCAACTTTGTGGAACAGTTTGGGGAAGAACCGTTTCTGTTCCAGCATGACTGAGCCCCAGTGCACAAAGCAGCTCCATAAAGGCCTGACTGGGTGAGTTTGGTGTGGAAGAACTTGACTGACCCTCACAGAGCCCTGACCTCAACCCCATCAAACACCTTTGGGATGAACTGGAACGGAGATTGTGAGCCAGACCCTCTCGTCCAACATCAGTGTCTGACCTCACAAATGCTCTTCTGGATGAATGGGCAGAAATTCCCACAGACTCTCTTGTAGAAGCTTCCCAGAAGAGTGGAAGCTGTTAGAGCTGCAAAGGGGGACCAACTCCATATTAATGCCTATGGATTTAGAATGAGATGTAATAAAATCTCCTGTAGGTGTCCCAATACTTTTATCTATACAGTGTATGTATATGTGAAACACATGTTTTATTTAAACTGCACCTTGCTAAAGATAATAATTGATATTAGCACAATATTGGTCAAGTTATTTGATTACTGTAAATTCTCTGAAACCCAATAGGAGAATTTTTTCTACAGTATACTTTTTCACATTAGCTTGTTATAAAGTTTATAACATTATTATTAATGCCTATTTCCTTAAATTGAGTTGAAGGAAAGTTTTTATCACATTTATCATGAAGACTGAACATAAGCCGATAAAAGAAAATCAATATTTCATTGCAAGCATAAGCTTTTGAAGCATTTTTCCAACACAAAAGTAATATATACTATTCAAAAATATTATTTTAAAATATAGTTTTAACAGATAAAAAGGCATCTTCCTAATATACAACTTTTTATCATAGCACTGTGTATTGTAAACATGAATTGGAGCATATCAAAAAATTAAGGTTTTCAATTACACTTTAATATTAAAGCACAGTTTAAAAAGAGAAATAAATAATGCTCATATACACTTTGTGAAAATGTAAATATAGTAATTACAGTTCATTGGAAATATCAAAAGCGATGTTTCAACACAAAATTAATATGTTTTGCAGGCACTTAACTGAATAAGTTTTATTGCTGAAATAACACAGGCTCCTAGGACACATTTCACAAAAGTACAGTTTTGTCACAGAAAAAAGCCATTTATGAAGTATATATATTTATGAACTACATCACCATCATCAAATCAGCAAAACCGAATAAAGAATGTTTTTTTTAAAATACACTGAAATATAGATTAAGTACATAAAAAGTTAAATAGAAAGTGAAAAAATACTTTAACTAGAAACGTGCATTTCCTGAATGAAACGCAGAATGGTTGTGCAGCTTAAATGGTGCCCACTTGCTAGGTTGCTAGGTGGTTGCTACAGTGTTGCTAGTGGTTGCTATGGTATCCCAGGTAGTTGCTAAGTGGTTGTTATGGTATCCCTTGTGGTTACTAAATTGTGCAAGAGTTGTGAATTCACAATTCCGGACCCGTAAATAATTAATGAACGTTCACCATCATATCTCCTCTTTTTCAGTAGTCTGGTCAGTCCTATTCTTGGGTACAGCTTGTGTAAGCTTTACTCTCACCAATCACGATCCTGATACAGCTTTAACTGAATTTGTGTTCCCATTCCAACAGTCCCATTCTTACAGTTTGTGAAACATCATGAACAAAACCGTGAGGAAGAAAATGTGTACCAGCTTGCTTGGCACTAAGGTCACCTTAAAAATTAGAAGCTGTGCATTTCATTTACCCCTGAGTAAACATGAATAAATCAATAAGTACATAAAAAACTTATATTTTATCAATAATGTACGTTAATTAAATCAGTAACTGATCAAAGTGCTATGCATTCTCACAATCAATCATTCCACCGTCCACCAACGGGCTGCTCAAAGACACAAACACTTATTGAAACACAAATGTTTTAACTGTTAATGTTAATAAACGAAAAGATGAACTGTGTATCAAGTAAACTATCTTACTATCTTACATAGATGCATTGAGGAGTAGGGATAAACATAGAATCCAGCGTACAGTGGTTCAGTGAATGTGGTGGTGAGTGTGTGTAGGTGGGTCAGTGCGCATGTGTCAGGTGAGATGATGTAGAAAGACAGAGTGCTGCGGTCCCTGTCCAGATACACTCCTACTCTGTTAGAGGGGGAGGGGGGGGCAGTTAGGACAGTTTTCTCTTTATTGTGCCAGACAGAGTAATTGTTATTATCACAGATCAGAATCCAGGACTGATTATTGGATCCAAACATATCGTATACATTCCTCCCTTTGTATGATACTGATATACCAGCCCACTCTCCACTCCACTGAACCTCCCAGTAACAGCGTCCAGTCAGACTCTCCACACTCAGAACCTGGGAATCAAACCCAAATCTGTCATCATGAGGTGGATAACACAGACCTTCTTCCTCCCACTGAGCATTCTTCTTGTCGTCAGACAGAGAGAGAAAACTGAACACAGTGTTTGAATCCAGAGTGAGTTCAACAGCATCTGTACACAAACACACACTACACACACAAACACACACAGATTAGAGGAGACACAAACAAAATGTGTGTGTGTGTGTGTGTGTGTGTGTGTGTGTGTGTGTGTGTTATATGTCCTCAGTCCTGTTATCATGCTGGTCTGATCAATCCTGAAGAACAAACACACACACACACACACACACACACACACACACACACACACACACACACACACACGTAACTCTGTAGTAATATTAAGCAGTAGTAGTAGTACGACAGTAATGCGGATAACATAGAGAAGCTAAGTGAAAGTGAGTCAGAATTGGTCACAAGGTCTCCATATATTATGATATTGATCAGGGACCTTCAACAAAGATGTTGAGTTTTGTTTAGATTGACCTTTTGACCTTTGTATAATAAGCTGTAGTCTTTGAAAAAGTCAAAATACCAGACAATGAGTCAAATTTCTGACATAACATGTAATTACAGTGTTTACTTATCATTATTATGATAAGTAAAGAAAGTCAACATTTTAAAATAAATATTCACCTAGAGAGGCCACAGGGTATTACTAGACCAATTTACAAAAGTTAGGATCAAAATCCAGGGACTAGTTTGAAAAGTGTGGTTCACAAACTGTTAATGATTGCAAAAAAAACTTTGCATTTCTTTTAATAAACTTGTAACTGCAAATTTGTTTGGCACAGTGTACCACATTATAGGAAAACGGGTATTTGACCATAAAATAAAAGATGTACTTCACTGGTTGTTAGGAAGTGCCTACATAGAGACACCACTCAAGTTTTATCATGATTGATCAATTCTAAGTCTTTCAAAGCCCTAATAAAGCTGATGGGCATGTGGGTGGCCACAAATTCCGATGTATCAGATTGTCCTTATGTATTGTCTGTCTAATAGATGCTGCCTGCGAATTCCAACTTGATTGGATGTACGGGTGCTAAGAAACAGTTATGTAGCATTTACAGCACCCCCTAACGTAATGTATGCGCACCAAAATTGATAGGCTACCTCAGAATCTACTACTGAATAAGTGTATCAAAAATTATAGAATATTATGAATTATTTCAGCACGGTTAATTAGCATATGGCAGACATTATGCAACACATTAGCTAACAGTAGTCCAGCTGGTCATCAGGTCTCTATGATAAACGCCTACTATGTTTGCTATTTCCTGAATGTTTAGCTAATAGGAGCAATCCAAATCACAGAAACCTTTATAGACTGCTGACATATCCCATGAATTTCACCCAGTTTACCTGCTTTAGTTGATCCTGCCTATCTTCTCCATATCTGACAGACTATGACCACAAAATGTCAGACCACAGAACATTCAGAGTTAGAACTCTACATAAGACTGTAGGTAGACTATTTTAATAGCCTAAATCACACAAAGCTGAAGTCAGATCTTATTTGCCAGCTTCTCATTCAAATTTTCCCGTTCCACCTTAAATGGTGCAGCAGTTCCATTCTGGTGCCTCAGGCCACGGCCCACTCAGGCATCATTTAAGGTAGAATGGGAAAATTCGAAAAAGAAGCTGGTGAATAGGAATCTTAGTTCAGGCTCATCTAAATTACTGTGTCAGAAAATTCTGTCAGTACACTACAGTTCGGATGTGTCGATTGCCGATCACCCATCAAAACACACTACATTCAGACACAGTGTGGGCGCTGCACAGACTTTCACTTCCTTTGGGACCATCAGGACCCCAATCTGCCTGGACCCATAATCTTCTGAGGTGTTTGGTAAAGGGATGTGATCCCCTCGGGATATTAAACATTCTCCATCCATTGTCTCTCTAAGGTCGGTCATAGTTGCTTTATACCCCCTAGTTGAACATGCAGCTCTGTGACGACATTGCACAGAAACCTGTCTACACATGATTCTAATGATTACAGTAAGATATGGTAATTATTAAATGCAGCATCATCAGATTCTCATACTGACTGGTAACCACCTTGATGGCTTATAGCACTTTATTTTACAGATCAGCAATATGTGGGTAACGATTAGGGGTGTACGTTTCATCACGATGTGATTCTACATCGATTCTTTCAGCCAACTACCCAATTCTGCAGTCAAAATGTCTAAGATAATAAACAGATGAATAAATGCAGTTTTAACTGTTTAAAAAGGTGATAAAAATCCCTTGAGTAGGTTAAATGTTGTGAACACATGTGCCTCCCCTCTTCATACAGCTGTACTTACTTTTAATGTAAGTCAATGGAACCAGACTTATTCCCCAAGTCATTTTAGGCTGTTTCTTCTAGTCCCTTAATCATGAAATATCCATACAATGTAAAGAACAACAGGTATTTTCAAATTATGCCAAAAACTGAAAAACGTCAAAAATGGAGATACAAGGTTTTCTTCTGACAACAGCGTAGTAAGAGTAATGATATGGTAATATTATGGTGACGAGTTGTATTAATCTAAAAAATACACGCAATTTTTGTAGCGTTTACTAAATTATGAGTTGGTAATTGTAGTGGTAGCTAGTTGGCAATAAAATGGAAGAATGAAGGTAACAAAATAATTACCTGAAAATAAAATATTAATTTTTACAGTTTTATATAATAAAACAGTTATATATAATAAAACATATAATTACTATTACTAGTGACGACATTGCACAGAAACCAGTTTATATATAAAATAACATATAATTACTATTACTGTAAAAGTGAGCAATTCTAAACAATTAGTCAGTTTCTGTAATTCAGGTCAGGTGATAATCAATCAATCAATCAATCAACCTTTATTTAACCTCAGAGAACAATGAGGGTGACCCTCATTTACAATATTCCCAAGTTGATACAGGAAAAGGGATTGATAATGTGTAAGAACATATCAAATAATCACTGTGTAAAGCTAATAACAAAATCACAAGTAAAAGTTAATAACAAAAATGACTCAAATCAGATAAGTATAATAGAATGAAACAATAATAAAAATACATTAAAAACAGCAGAAAATATAAAACAACAATAAAAGCATTACTAAAATGTAAAAGTTAATAAAATCAAATGAAGATATAACAAAAGGAGGAAATGAAACAAAAACGGAAACTAAAATTAATTAAAATTGCTGAAATAATAATAAAATAATCATATTTAAAATAAGAATAAGATTATGAATAATAATAAAAAAGCAAATAAATGGATAAAGACTAAATAACTAAAATAAAATCAGGTACTACAGTGTCAGGCAGGGTGGAGGTGGTTAGAGAGTAAAAGTTGTGAGTGACACCAGTGAGCTGATCTTTAGTGTTTCCTGTAGTGAGCTCACTGTAACTGAAGGCAGATTTTCCCAGTTCAGTAAAAACTCTCTGTACCTGGCATGTGATCCAACCACTGGAGCGAGTCTGATAAATACCATTATTTACAGACATCATTGAAGTAATATATGCTGGCATATGGCCGGAGAGTGTTTATAAATAAAAATAAAATAAATAAACGTGTCCCGCCGTGTAGCTAGTGAGGGCGATCCAACTTTTTCATACAGTCTGCAGTGATGAGTGTTATAAGGGTCTCAGTAATGAACCTCAGTGCAGAGTGATGGACTGAGTCCAGTGGTTTGAGGGAACTGGCAGATGCGTGTTTGCAAATTGCATCACCGTAGTCCATAACAGACAGTAAGGCTGCCTCAACAATTCTTTTTCTAGCATTCATGAGGAAACAGGACTCATATCTATATAGGTAACCGAGCTTCTGTCTACATTTGCCAACCAGTTTATTAATATGGGGTTTAAAAGTGAGTTTATCATCCAGCCATATGTCAAGGTATTTATACTCTGTGACTCTCTCGATGTTGGATCCTGTCAGGGTAGTGATATTCACAGTATTAAAATCTGTATTAGATCTGGAAAACAACATGAACTTAGTTTTCTTAGCATTTAAAACCAGTTTGTGTTTACGCAAAGCAACCTGTAGGGCATTAAATGAGCATTGCAGTTTTCTTATTGCAACCTTGTGGTACTCCTTTGGACATGGTCAAAAATCTGATTTGTAATTACTCAGTGCTGCGCATTGTTGTCTGTCTGAAAGGTAATTTTGGGTCCATTTTACTGTGTTTGTATCAAAACCAATGTTTTGTAAGTTCCTTAAAAGAAGAGTGTGATCAACTGTATCAAAAGACTTAATATAATAATAAATATGATAAATAATTAGATAAATATGGCAGCACAATGCTTCTTCCTGTCAATTTCCATAACGAGATCATTTATAACCAGTGTGGTAGCAGAGATGGTGCTGTGTTTCTCCAAAGCCAGACTGATAATTAAACAGGACAGAATTTTCGTGTAGAAATGATTTAAGTCGACAATTTACTAGAAGTCCTAAAATTTTAGCTAAACAGGACAGTTTTGAAATTGGTCTGTAGTTATTTACATCTGCTGCCTCACCTCCTTTATGCAGTGGAGGTACATGAGCTATTTTCCAGATCCTGGGAATTCTGCATGAAAAAACAGAGATTAAAAATATATGTTACGTATTCTAAAAAAATTGGGGCTGCTAGACGCAGGAAGTATGGGATTTAGCTACTATGTTTGGAGAGAGGAGCTGGAGTGTGAAGAGACCTAACAGCAGGTTTCAATCAGTAAAGTCAAAAATGTGACCAGCTGCAGCAAAATGAGTGTTACAAACACTACATAGTTCGTTCTGATCAGATATCAGCTGATCACCAACTATCACGCTGGTTGGAAAGGTAGAGGAATTGTTTTTAAGGGATTTTACAGTTTTCCAAAAGTTTTGAGTGTTTGTAAAGCTGGTAATCAGATAATAATCTCATTTGGTCTTTCTAACTGCAGAGGTACACATCAATTCTTCAAAGTAAACTGGGTAACTGCAGTGAAGAGGCTAACTAAATAACTGCATTATAATCCAACCTACATGTAGGCCAACCTACAGACAGTGTTGATACGAAGGAACAGATGAGGTAAAAACACTGAATCATGGCTGGAAATATATCACATTCCTTTAGTGTTGCCTGTTAACAAAACAGATACTCAATTATAAAGCACAG